TTGTCTAGACTTCAGGAAACCTCCTGGGCAAGAATCACCCAGAGGCTGCAGAAGAGGGTGCGGGGTGGCGCATGACCCCTAGGGGGCGCTGGAGCCCGGGAGAGCGGCTGGAGGTGGCTTCCAGGTAACCCCCGCCACAGGAGTGGGGACAGGAGGCTGAGAAGGAACAACCAGAGAGGTTGGGGAAAGGGTGGAACATTAAAACATCCGATCTGTGGACGTGAGTCCCTGCCCCCAGTCTCATTGCTTCTCCCCCACCCCCAAACTGAGCTCTTCTAGTTTAGGAGTGTAGCAGGATTTTGCCTGCCCCTGAGATTTTGCACAAGACTGAAGCACTACCAGACACTCTTTCCCACCTAGTCTTCTCCGTGCTAGCTAACTTCTGATCTCGGCTTAATATGTAGCCTCTTCCAGGAAGCCTTCCATGATGCTTCACCCCTCCAGGTGAGGTTGGGTACCCCTGCCACAAGGCCTCTCTGAACCTCAGCTGAGCTTATACCACAGTCTATGTCCTTGAGGCACAGACCACTGAGCCCTGGTTCTCAACCTGGTAGCTGTCACTTAAAGGTCCCCTCATGCTGGTTGGTTGAATGAAAGAATGTGTTGGGAAACAGGAGAGAGTGGGATGGGATGGATGCATCTGTCTTAAGCATGGAGGTGGTTCGGGGTTGGGATGGACCAAGGATACGGTGGTGAGGATTATGGGATGGGACAAGGAATGGGCTGGGATGAGAACGGGGACCCCGAGCCCTCTCTCCTCCTTGACCTGCTGTCCCTGGCACCCATGGAGAAGCCCCCCCATGCCTCACGCAGGACTGGCTCCCGCCGGGTCCCTCCCGCCCCCCCAAGGAGAGGCAGCACAGACGTGTACAGGTTGATTTATTTACAAATATACTGATGTCTCATCTTTTGTTGGTGTTTCCATTTTCTGCTTTTGTGGGAAGAGGCAGAAGGTGAGCGTGGAGGGCAGGGTGGGGGGAGTGATGTGGTAGACGCTAATAAATAATTTAACAATGACAAGTTATTAAATAAAATGTGTCTGGGGATGGCGGGTGGGCAGTGAGAGTCTGTACAAGGAAAACAGAGGAATGGCCGATGGCCGGTCCCCACGCCCAGCTGGGCTGGGCTCCCGTGGGGCCCTCAGTCGGGGTCGGGGGGTGGGCACCGGCAGACAGGCTCGTGGCAAACTGCACCTTCCAAGGGCCAAATGGTGGAGGGTCCTTCCTGCTCCCCCAGCCCTCAGGCCTCGTGTGCCCGGGAGTGTGAGTAGGTACGTGAGCCTCCGTGTGCGTCCGGGGTGAGTGTGTGTCTGTGCGTGTGTGTGTGGACCCTCTTCCCCGCAGGGTAGAGTGAGCCCCAGAGCTGCAGGTTCTCCCAGACCTCAGGGGGTGCCCAGAGCTCAGGCCAAGCAGGGGTCAGCCGGTTTGCCCTCCCTAGGAGTGGAGAGAGGGATGCAGGCTCCACAGGGGTGGGTGAGGCAGCCTCACTGCTGGGGGGGCAGCTGAGCCCCCTAAAGGAGAAGAGGCCTCCCCCCAGCCCTGCGACAGGGGCCTGACCTCGCGTGCGCCCTGCTCGCCCAGAGACAGTGGACTCCTCTCCTCCCCGTCCTGGGAATCCTCCCCACATGCCCAGCCCGCTTGCCCTGACCTCTTCCCCTACAGGCTCTGCCTGCCCTACAGTGGGACCTTTGGGACCATAGGGTCCCTTTGTCTGTGCGGCCCCCCAAGAGGCTCCGTGGAGCAGGCAGATGAGGCTCTGGCTGGGGGCAGGACCCCACCTTCTTGTCCCTCCTCTGCCTTATCTGCTGTGTCACTTGGGGCAGAGTCCCTCCCCCTGCCCACCTCACACTTTCTGCCTCTTCCTCTGGGCCAGAACTTGACCTCCCTCTTCCCTTGGGCTTCCCATCCCAGCCACCACGAGTGATGACGGTCAGGGTGGGGAGTGCTCCTGGCTGCTCACCGCGCCCCTGTCAAGGCTGCACTTCCTCCCACATGCGGTGGGAAGAGCCTGCTTATCCCACCTCGCCCCAGACTCCAGCGAGCGGGCTTGCCTCTGCAGGCTTCTGCGGGGTGACCCTGACCGCCGGCCACCTTTCTCTGAGCCTCGGGTTCCTCATCTGAGAAATGGGTCCCCACTAACATTTGGACAGAGCTGGGTCAGAGTGTGAATGTCTCTCCTTCTAGAAGAAAGCCCCTCAAGGATGAGCCCTATATCTTGTTCATCTGTGTCTCCACGGCCCATCCGGGGCTGGGCAGGGTGGACAGCGGATGTTTGGGGGAGCCTGAGGGAACAGAGGACAGTGAGCCACAGCACACGGCAGTCACCTGACCATGGCTGATGGGGCGTCTCTGGCCCACGGGACACTCTGAAGTCTCTTCGGCTTTGACCATCCGTGGGACGTGAGTGTGGGCGTCTATGAACCAGCGCCCCGCAAGGAGCAGTGCACAGCGAGGGCAGAGCCTGGGCTGGACTTGGGAGGTTGTGAGGCCCCAGATGGGCTGGCAAGACAGATGATGCCCCCCGACCTCGAGGCCATTCACCAGACCAAGAAGATGAGGGGGTGGCATGGTGCCCCTTCTCCCTCTCCTCTCCCAGGCCGGGCTTTCCAAGCTGGGATAAAGGGAGTGGACCAGATGCCCATTTCTGAGCTTCCTTTTGACTGTAAGAGTCTGGTAGAGAAGGACCAGGGCCCCTGGGGGCTGGGGGGGGGTGCTGCCCCGGGCCTGCCCCAAGCACCCCCAGCATGATTTGGACCATGTGAGCACAAGAGGAGGAAGGGGAGCATCTCTCAAGAAACCAGTGTGGCTGCCTAAGGGACCACTGATGGCCCAGGACAAGAGAGGGTACAGCGCCCAGGTGGGCTAAGGTTGCAGAAAACCAAGAACAGCGGCCGAGATCCCTGCGGGAGTTCATGTGGTACAAGGAGGCAGGGCCAGGCTGAGCTGCCTCGCCTGGCTGACAGCCCTGGGGAAGAGCACAGGACACTTTGGAGCAACCTCGGGCTCCCCACTGGACAGAGGAGCCAAAGCACGGAGCAGGCTGGCGAGCGTGGAGAATCCCAGAGGGGGCCGGGCGGAGGGGCCCAAAGGCGGAGAGAGACGCCCACGGTCCTCTTCGCTCAGAGGCTGGGCCAGGCAGATCCCAGGGTGGCAGCCTAGGGCTTGGTGTCAGAATTACAGGAGGGGCTCTGAGCACCTGGCGGAGGACACAGCGGCCACCAGAGGCCAGAGAGGAGTCACCGAGAACAGGACCCCTCAGCCTGACCTCACTCCCTCTTTTGGCAGGGTCATTGCTGAGTGGATCTGGGCTGGGAGCTGAGGCAGCCCGTCTGGCTTCCCACGGGGCATCTGACAAAACGGGGCTGGATGTGCCCTGGGACGCGTCCTCCAAGGAGGACTGGTTCACGGGCCCACACCGGACGGGAGAGGCGCAGGCAGTTCGTGTGCCTCGGGTGAGAAGCGCAGGGCTGGCTCCTGACATGACAGGGACAGCAAGCCAGTGTCACAGAGCTGGGGGTGCAGAGAAACTCCACAGGCCAGACTGAATTAAGGAAGAAGAAATGCGGCAAATAAAAAAGCCAAGGTCCTTTGCAGGATCTAAACAGTAAGTGCCATTCCCCCACATACACACCGGAGGGCCCTGTGGCCCCTCAGTCGTGTGTGTGAGGGTCGGGGATCCAGTTACAGAAGGGCAGGGTGAGTTTCCAGGTAATGTGGTCTCATTTTGGGCCACATTAACAGAGGCAGGGCGCCTAAAGCGGGGGAGGTAGCTGGCTGATACCATGGGGAGACTGGGTTACATCTGTTCCACGTTTAGATTGAAAGCTGGAGCCCAGCTGAGGGTACAGTTTTAGGAGAGAGAGCCGGAGAGACTGGAAGAGCCTGGCTTTGAGAAGTGAAGACTTGGGGCTCAAAGAGGCAGAGGCCAAATCAGCAGAGAAGGGCAGCTGGCCTGGGGCGGGATGAAGCAGCGGGCTCCCCACCGCGGGAGGTACTCCAGAGGCAGAGGGAGCCAAGCTTCGGACAGATGTTGGGCCAAGTGGGTGATTCGGGAGATCCCTTTCCGCCTAGAGGCTCTGCCACTTGTCCCACCTGCTTCTGGGGGCCCTGTCTCTGCCCTGCCTGCTCAGGCAGCCCCCATGTAGGCTGAGGCTAGGGTACACCCGCATCCACATGTTTCAAGACCCAAACTCCCCCCTCCCTCCCGTCCCCTCCTTCCTTCTCCCCTATTGCTGTAAGAAGATGGGGTCCCTGCCCTGGTCTGGCCTCTTTCCCCTTCCTGACGTGGCAGGGCTGGCCCCCAGAGCGCCTCTGTGTCTCTTCAGCTTGTGTGCGTACCTGCGCGCGGATCCGCATGGCCTCCGGGCTGTGCGCGTCTGCAACTGAGGCTCGGTCTACCCTCCCCAGGGACTCCCTCTCAGGGCAGAGCCGTGGTGGGCTGGGCACACCTGCCAGGCTCTTCCCCACTTCTGTTCCAGATTCGAACCGGGACGGGTGAACCCAGGCTGGTGGGCTGGCTCTCAGAGGTGGGGGAGCTGGGCACGAGCCCCGCGCACAGGGACACGCCCTCGCAGGTGACACGCACCGCACACAACGTGGTCGCCTTGGGGTATGCTGGGGCTGTGGCGGGGCGGGGGGCGGCTGCCTGGACCTAGGCCCGGTCCCTGGAGGTTGGCTGGACACAGAGAGGACATTTAAAAAAATAGAGAGAATTTAAGCTTCCCAAAAAAGAGATGGGTAGGGAGAAGGAGGCGATGGAGGCCTAGGTGGGGCTGAGAGGCGAGCGGCTTTCCGAGACTCTGGGTCCCTGGGATGACACGGTCTCTGCCGGCAGGACGCGGCTCTGCCCAGGCTGCGCCCGTCTGCCCGCCCGGCCGGCCCGGGGAAGGGCACCGTATGGCTGTGTGTAGAGTCTGTGCGGGCGGTGGGGCTGGCCCTGGCGGCCGCAGGCCCCCCCCCTCCCAGGACCCTGGCCCAAGCGTCCAAGCGGCCGGCTGGCTCTCAGGAGGCGAAGTAGGAACTCTGCATGGAGTAGAGCCGGTCGATGGGGTTCCCCACGCGGGCCTGCAGGGAGCCCACGTCCGAGGAGCCGAGGAAGCAGTCGCTGAGGCTGGTTAAGGAGGTATCGCTGTCGATGTCATGGAAGATGGAGTCGTTCCCTGGGGGCAGAGGGGGCGTCAGGAGCCGGGCAGGCGTGAGCTCCTGGGGGCCCTTTCGGCCCTGCAGCCTGTGCGGCCAGAGGTGAGTAGGGATGGGGTGACCTGTGGCAGCGGTGGGGGGCCAGAGGCGCGGAGGGCTGCAGGTGGGGCCTCGCGGGCACCCCCTTCCGATGGGAGGCGGCAGGCAGGCTGGCTGTGTCGGCGCGGCCTGCCGGCCCGGGGGTGGTGGGCAGGGGCGGTGCTGGGGTGGGCAGGGGGTGGGGCGGCTTACCATAGGGGTTCATGTGGTCACCTGGCATTTGGGGCGGCGTGAGGCCCTGCTGGAAGGGGTCGCTGCTGCCGTAGGGACTCTGCTCCATGGCCACGATCTGCTGCTGGGGTGGGGCCAATGGCGTGTAGGAGGCCATCATGCCCTCCATGCGACTGGACAGGACCTCTGGGGAGAGAGCACACTTTCACCAACCCGCCCTGTCCACCTCACCCCAGAGCCCACGCCACCCCAGGGGTGCCCTCCCAGATATACCTCAGGCCTTCCCACTGATCTCCCATATGACTCCCCAAGGCCACGGGGCCCACTGCAGTCCCCCTGACTCTGACCTCTTCTGCACTTTCCCAGGTTGCCTGTGGTGACCCAGGGCCACTGAACCCATGTATCTGACCCCTGACCTCTTTTCCCCAGACACACAGGAATAAACACATAGATAAACACAGGAATCGGTTTATCAAAAGCCAGGGATCTCCCCTCCCCACCTCCTCCCTTCCTCCAGTGGCCCTGCCCTCCAGAAGCTCAATGCTTCGGGGGCACAGACACTAAGCAGGCCGTCATGATTCCTCAACATGTGGGTGCAGTGAGCTCCCTGCATCTGGGAGCATCAAGGTGGGGCCCAGGCCAAAGGAGTTCAGGGAAGGCTTCCTGAAAGAAGGGACCCCCTAACTCTACATCACTTAAAGAATCAGCAGGGGTTCAACCATGCCAGGGGCAGGCATGCCCTGCCTCAGGAAGTAAAGGCGGGGAGGGGAGAAACTAGCCGGTGGGAGCAGGGAGCCCTGTGCATGGGGCTATAGTGCCAGGATGAGAGAAGGCCAGGAGTGGGGCAGAAGATGGTCCTCTGGGCGCCCCCCCCAAACCAACCACAGAGCTCAGTGTGGTTCCCCCTGAGGCTGTAGGAAGTCTACTGTGGGAGGGGCTGTGGAGAAAGGCTGGCAGGATGGAGGCTGGAGACAGGGACCACTGAGGAAATTGAGGGAGGGGCTGGGTTCCTAGCCCCTCCCTCCCTTAAGGTGAGCGTGGAAATGACAACTCCCAGGAGGGAGCGTGAGGGACACGGGAGCAGCCTCCACGGCCCTGCTTGGCAACCGAGCGGATGTGGTGCGTGGAAGACAGGAGGGTCAGAGGCGACTCCCAGGTTCCTGGTGTGGGCACTGGGTGGAGGGTAGTGCTGTTTGCTGAGGTGGGGTGAGGAGGGGCAGAGGGTGCTGTGCGAATGTGGCAGCAGGGGCTGCTGTGTGCAGTACAGGAAGGGCCCTGATGAGCTCAAGCGGGACCATGGAACATTCTGGGGCATGACTATGGAATATCCCAGAGGCAGCTGGGAACACAGGAGGTGGTGGCTGGGAGACCAGAGACAGTGGCCACAGCCCCAAGGAGGCCAGGCTGTCTGGGGGAGAGGGGAGGCAGGGGCAGAGAGAAAGAACTGGATTCCAAGGCTCCAGTGCAGCTGGGGACCCGGGCCTGGCCCTGAGCCCTGATAGAAGAGGCTGTCCATCAGTGCCCTGGCATCTGCCCCAAAGCCCCCATCTCACCTGGGAGCAGGCAGCCCTGGGGCCCCCACTCCTCTTGGGCAGTCCCTGCAAGGCTCAATGTCCCCATGGGGCTGGGGAGGCCACCCCCCCGACCCAAGAAATAGTAACATTTTGGCAAAGCCCAGTGTTCAGGGGTCTGGCCGCTGCCCCTCCAGCTGGCTCCTTACCACCCAGCAGGAACCCACACTGAACTCAACACCCCGCAGTCTCTCTCGAGATTTCTGCTGAATTCTGTCGTGGGCAGTGGGGTGTATAGTCACGTGAAAACCACAGCTTTGGGATGCCACATGTGGGGCCGAGGCCAGCTTTGCCCCTCACTCGCTGAGCGATCCCAGTAAGTCCTCTGGTCTGAGTCTCCGCCTCCTTGGCTGTGAGATGGGCTGTGACAGTGCCCTTCCCCTCCGGGATCGGTGGGCATTCCGAGAGGCTGAGCATGGCCAATGGTGACAACTGTGCCTAGCACACCCTGAGGGTGGGAGATGGTTGCATGTATTTTGGGTTTTTTGTTCATTTTTAAGTAAGCTCTAGGCCAGACACGGGCTTGAACTCAGGATGTTGAGATCGAGAGTCACACCTTCCACTGACTGAGCCAGCCAGGCATCCCAGGGGCGAAAATTCTGCCACCCCTCGGCGCAGCCCACACTGCCATCTCTCCTGGGGGCCCCCGTGGTCCCCACCGGCTCTCTTGATCCCAGCAGGTTCCGGGGCGCCAGCTCCCACAGCCCTCACGGCCCTGGTGGAAGGGGTCCGGGGTCCGGGGTCCAGGGGGTGGGGGAAGAGTGCTGTTACCAGAGGCTGAGCCTGGGCCCTGTCGCCCTGGTCCCGGCTCACCTTGGCCCAGCCGCTGCGAGTTCTGCTGCTCCTGCTGCTGCTGGTGCCGCCGCGCCAACTTCTTCATCTGCAGGGGACACGGGTCGTGTCAGTCCCCACCTCCCCATCCCCGTTCAGTCCCGGCCCCTCCCAGCAGGACCGTGTCTTCTGCCCGCACCCCCACTCCAGCCCTGCCCAGCGGGGGCAACAGGTGGCCTCTCACCTTGGCTCTTTGGTTCTGAAACCACACCTGGACCACACGCACACTGAGGCCTGTCTCTGCCGCCAGCGTCTCTCGGACCTGCCCGGGGGGAGGGACACGGATCAGGCCTGGGGGCGGGGGCCGGGGCAGCAGGCCAGGGAGGCGGTGGTTTGGGGGAACTGAGGGACGGGCGGGGGAGGTGGAGGGACGTCCCCATCCCTGGCAAGAGTGGTAGGGGGCACTGTCTGGGAAGGCGGCGGGTGTGGGGTGTCAGCCCCGCCCCACCCCAGCGGCCCCTCACCTTTCGGCAGGGCTTGGAGGACACCTCGAAGGAGGCCTTGAAGGCTCTTCGCTGCTGCGTGGTGAGGATGGTCCGGGGTCGCTTGGGCCTCCGGGGGTCTTTCCCGTCGTCCCCACTGCCTTTACTCTGGCTGCCCTGCCCCTTGGCCGGCTTCATGTCCCCGTCCTCGTCCTCGCTCTTCACTGTGGGGGACACACCCAGCCCATCAGTCTTGTACGAGGGTCTCAGATTGGTACCCGGAGGCCATCTGTCGCCTGGCGGGATCCCCTCACCTCCTGCCAACACCAGCTCCCTGCACTCCGGAGACCCCAGGGCAGCTTGTCAGCCTCTGAAAAACTGGTTCCCGCTGTCCCAGCCCAGGGCCAGTGGGTCCCACAATCCAGCGAGGAGACTCCAGGGAGCCTTCTTTCTTGGAAGCTTCCAGAGACTAAAAACTGTCAGGCAAAGCCATACCCCAGACATTGTCACACCTGAGTATTCATGATGACAGCACGCACACCACACACACAGTTACACACTCAACCACTGACATGTGTGCACGCACACTGGCACGTGGGCCCACAGAGCACGGGGCACACACAGCTCACGCACACACACACACACACACACACACACACACAGGCCCCTGTGCTCACAGGTGGGGACATACAGGCAAGCACACACCTGAACACACACACACACGCACGCACACAGAAGCATGTGTGTTCACCCAGAGACACACCCATGCCCACCGTGCACACACGGCCACTTCCATGTCCCAGAATTGTGGGTCTCAGAGATGCCAGCCCCAGGCGGACACCATGCGCCTCCCACTGTCCCCAAGTCTAAGCTGGTCTCCTATTCCCAGGCCCACCTTCCTCAGACCATGAGCCCCGGGGCTGGGTTGCCTCCCTCCAAGACCCCCACCCCAGGCCCGATAGGAATGGGCCAACGGCACCTGGCTAGTGTCTGCTCTGCTCTAAGAGCCCAGGAAGCCACCACGGTGCCCTGCTCATGGGTGGACAGAGGGACAGATGGATGGGGAGCTCACTTCCTCCAAGGACACCGACAGGACAAAGCTCTTCCGGAAGGCCCTGTGACTGAGGGCTCTAAGTGACCCCCAAGGGCTCTGAAGACCAGGCCATCTCCTCGCCAAGCCCTCTGCTCTAGTCCTTCCCCACTACCTGGGAATGACAGGGCCCCAGCCTTCTCCCTGGCGCTTCCCTTCCAAGACTCACTCCCGGTTGTACCCGCCTTTCTGGCAGGAGGGCTCTAAGCTGGCACAGCCTTTCTGGGGGCTGGAACAGAATAAAGAGGTACCTTCATCCTGGGAAAGGGGGTCTTTGCCTCCACCAAAGAATGCCCCCGGCCCCCCACCCAGCCAGGAAACTGAAGAGCTCAGGCTGCTGTCCCCTGCGCTGAAGGCTGTGTCAGAGCCCTGCTTCATAGCCACCAGCAGCCTGCAGACCTGGGCAGGCAGGGACACCCGCGGTGCCGTGCCATGGTGGGGGCCACAGCAAGGCAAAGGGTGGACAAGGAAGGGGGGTCAGAGAGCAGGGTGTGTGCGTGTGCTTGTGTCTAAACCACAGTCCGGGTAAGCGTGTGGACAAATTTGTGTGCAGCCTTATGCATCACTGCTCTGTGCACGTGGGACGTGTGAGTGGGGTTGTGTGTGCACGTGGGTGTGGTTAAGTGGACGCGCAGTGCGTGTTCCTGGGTGCGGGTTCGCACGCGCTTGGGCATCTCGGCGCACATCTACAGATATTCCTGTGTCCGTGCTTATGTGCCCCTGGGCATCGAATGCGCTTGTGTGTGGACATGTGTGGTCCCATGCACGTATGCTGGTGCATGAGCACGTGTGCCCCAGTGGTAGTGTCCGCACATGCTTTGTGGGCCTGGGTCTGTCCACCGGTGTCCACCGGCGTCTGATGGGGGCGCACTGTCTGTACGTAGCTCGGGTCCTGGGGTCAGGATTGCGCTTCTCCGGCAGCGCCCCGCCTCCGGCCCCCCAGCTGCCCCCCACCAGCTCCAGCCACGGCTCACCAGAGTCGGACTCGTCGGGACTCACGGAGCTGAGCAGGTCCTTCTCCTTCTCGTAGTCCCCCTTGCACAGCAGCTGGCCCTCCTTGAGCACAAACTCGTCGCCCTTGCGCAGCTGCCGCTCACACACGCAGCAGCAGAAGCAGCCCAGGTGGTACACGCATTCCAGCGCCCGCATCACAAACTCCGTGGGGGCGATCTTCTCCAGGCAGCCGCTGCACTTGGCTGCGAAGAGCCTGCGGGTGCACAGGGCGGGCTCGTTGGTTTGGCTCTGGGGGGGCCCCTCCCCGAGACTGCTGTCCACCAGGGGCCTCTCCCTCCTGCCACCCTGACTCCCCCCACCCCAGATAGGAGAGGTCCCACCCGGGCACAGAGCCAGACAGCGGGAGGGCCCCCTGGCCCCGCTCTTCTGGCTCCCCAGGGCCCTGGTGGCCTAAGGGTGGGCACTGGGCATCCTGCCCTGAGGTGCCCTCTCCTGGGCGTATCAGCTCAGGGCCCCGCTTGCTCCGAGATACTGCGGCCACTAGAGGGCAGAGCACATGGTCAGCCTCAACCTTCCTCAAGAGCCAGGCGGGTTCTGGGCCTGAGAAGGGCAGGCGGCCTCCTGGTCCCCTCTCCCCTCACTCCAGGACCTGCTCTGCCTCCTCTCTGCTCTCCCCTCTCTCTCCCACATCCAGGCGATCCTGAGCCCTGTCCGGCCCACCACCCAGGCTGGGCTGCTCCTCTCCTGCCTGAGTGCCTGCCTCAGTCCCCTTCCTGGGCTCTGGGCTCCTCCAACCCTTCAATTCACCCTCCAGGATGAGAGCCAGAGGAAGCTAAAACCCACATCTGCTCATGCTGCTTCCCTGCTCCAGACTCTTCCACGACTCCCTGGGGCCTCGAGGCCCTTCACACCCTGCCTCTTTCTGCGGCCCTGATGGAACAGCCTGCGGCTTCTCTGGGGCACCTTCCCACTGGCCTGTCAGCATGTTCTTTCTTGGTCCTCAGCTGGGCTAACCCCTGCCTATCCCTCATTTCGGCTTGAGCATCTTTACCACATGCAGATGTCTACTGAGCCCAGACAGTGTGGCAGCTCCTGCTCTAAGCGCTCTGCACACAGAAATGCATGCAATCCACAGTGACCCGATGAGGCAGGAATGCACCTTAGCCCCATCTCAGAGATAAGAAAACTGGGGTGCGGAGAGACAGAGTCGCGGGCTCAGGGTCACATGGTCATAAGGGATGAGGCCCACCGGGAGCCTGGGCCTGCCCCAGCCCCTCCATGACAAACCGGATCCATCTCCCATCTCTGGAGACAAAGCCGGGCGGGGGTGCCCCCCGCCTCCTGCCTGCGTTTGCAGGAGGGTCTGCGCTGCGTGGCTGCTCCTCTGCCCTCACCCACTGACCGCTCCTCCCGGCTCCCCCCTCCCAGTCACGTGGCCTGCTCTGTGGGAACTCAGCCTCAACAACACTTTGATGGAAAAATTTATGAAGAATCAAATTATTGCTGCTGGGAGGGAATTAAAACCATTTTTCATTCCCCACGTCCCTGGGCCACGTCTGCGGGCGCCACCTTGGGAGTGCTGCGCGCATCCCATCCCTCTTTATGGCCCGCCATCACAGGCGCAGATTACAGCAGCAATTCTCTACTAATCGGTTCCGGAACAGAAATGGCCATAAATGCGAGGCACTCGGCCTGCCTCCCTTCCCGGGGCTGCCGTCAGCGCCGCCCACGAGGAGCTAGCGGGGCGCGGCGGATGGGACCGATCTGCGTTCTGCCTGCTGCCCTGGCATGGGCCGGGGCGCTCAAACGGGTGGGGGCATCCCCAGCAACCCTTGCCATCCGCCGCTATTCGACTGAACAGGCTCCTACTCATCCTGCAGTGCCCCACTCCAACGCCACCTCCTCTGGGGAGCCTTCTCTGATGCCCCTGTCAGGGGGAAGTGGCCTCCTGTATGCTCACCCGAGCTTCCCTCGGCCTTCCTTCTACTGTGAAGTGGGGATGTCAACAGGACCTCCCTTGTGGGGATTCGATGATACTGAGCTTGTAACTTGGTATGTAAGAATCACATCAGGGACAGCACATGCCTCTGTCAGCTTCCCATTCTGCAGGGGTTCCACAAGGTGGGGCCTGGCTCTACCCCATCCTCAAAAAGGCCTCAGTGAGTGTTTGCAAAGCAGGTGAGTGAAGGCTTGGGGTGGCCTGAGGTTCAGGCATACAGGACCCTGCTAACCCACATAGCGTGTGGCTTTGCGAGGGGAACATGGGCTGGATTTCAGCTCCGATTTGGCCCTTGGGCTGCATAACTTTGTTCAAGGCACAACCTACCCAACTGTCCATGTCCATGGTCACCTTTGGCAGAGGCCCCTAGGAATCTGGCTGGCTGTCCGGCTCTTCCAAGGGGCTAGGGAAGGAACCAGGCTGCCAGAACTTGATGCTCTGACATGGAGGCTGATTCTGCCCGGCCCCACCCATCACCCCTCTGTCTCCTTCCCACACTTACACCTCCTGATCTAGGCGCCATGCTAAGGTCTGCAGCCCGGCCTCAGCGGCCCATGAGCAGACAGGCACTGGCTGCATCTCTGGGCCGGCCTGGTGGGGCCAGGGGCCCAGGCTGGGGTCGGCCTGAGGGCTGCGGCTCCTGGAGAGGAGGCCCTCTTAGGTAGGGGAGGGGGGCAGCAGGAGGGTGACCCGCATTTGCAGGCGCCGCCGCCATGCAGGCTTTCAGAACAGCCGCGCTAATGCCTTGACGGCAGGGGGTCGATTGCTACTTTCTCCAAACTCATCAACACGATCTATTATTAATACTTCTCCAAAGGCTCCTGCCACCATTACCGAGGCAGCGCCAGCCACTCGGGGCGTCATCTGTTATCTAGATTGCAAAAACTCGGGATATAAAACAAACTGCGCACACTTTATAAACGGAATGTGCCATCCGCTTGGTCTCCAAGCATCTCTCCACCCAATAAAACATGGTGGGGGGGGATGCATGAAATACTCACTCCCAATTATGGGGCTGCCTTTGTCTACGGAGCCAGGGTGAGCACGACTGACGCACGTGCGGGAGGGGCTGGGGTGCCAGCGGGGTCCTCTCCTCCCCTGAACCCCCTCCCTCCCTCAACCCCTCCCATCGTGAAGGGCTGGTGGAACCGGCTGCTGAGAAGCGAGCAGGCAGGCGAGTGGCACTGGGACTGGACGACTCGCATTCAGTGCCTGGTTCCACCACTTCCTGGCCGGTGACTGGACAAGTGATTTCCTCTTTCTGAGCCTCGGCTTACTGATCTGTATAATGGGCTCAACAACACTGCCTGCTTCTTCATGTGAAGGTGCAGCGAGTTGTCAGGGTCAAGCAGTGAGCACAGACGGAGAGGTCAGGGAGCTGGGCAGGCCTTTTGAGGCCTGGAATGAGCCTCTCCGGGAACGGTGCGCAGAAGCCGCACATACTGACCAGAGACAAAGTTGCTCAGGCTGAGGAACTCCGAGCCTTCCTGCCCCGCGGGGGCCCTGGAACCTGAGGGCAAAAGGCCCTGCCAGCATCCGAGGCGCTGGATTTGGCGCCCAGGTCATGATCTCAATCTTGACTCAGCCACTCACCGGCTATGTAACCTGAGGCAAGTCTGAGTCTGGGTCCTCATCTGTAAGATGGGGACAAGAGTCCCGACTCCCCAGAATTGTGCTGGCGGTTCCAGATGCGTGTGTTTCTGCTTCCCACACCTGGGCTGGAGGGATGGTGGGGTGGGAGGCCACCTGTGGCACCTGCCTCTCGGTGCCAATCCCCTGCTCCAGGCTCCTCCCCCAATCCAGGAGCTCCAAGCCAGAGGGCAGCTTCATGACCACAGCACAGGCACCCAGACTTGCCAGCAACCCACACAGCCCACCCCCATTCTCCATGTAAACTGCCAAGCCTTTCCTCCTGCTATTGCTAATGTCCAGAACACCATTCCTCCCACCCTTGACCTCTGAGCCAAACACCTACTTATTCTGAAGGATTCAGCTTGGATATCCCTTCCTCCAGGAAGCCCCCCTTCTCCTCTCCAGTCGTAGATGTCTTCCTTGCTGTTTCCCATCCTCACATTTCCTCCCCACTATGGTATTTACTAGAAGGAATCCACTTTCCCTACTTCCAGGTCCACTTTTCCCGGGGTCACCCCTCTCTTTGGAGCTGAGTACAAGGCCCTAGACACACGAAGGTGAGGGGCAAATAGTTATGCAACAAACGCTGAACGAACCAACACAGTCCCATCCCGCCTGTGAGGTAGGGCGGGTGCGTCCAGCCCCGAGCCTGGTCTGGTGCGAGCACCCACCACCTGCCCTGAGAAGACGTGCTGCCTGAAGGAGAGCAGTGTGGGGGTGGGGGGATGATGGAACCGGCAGCCCAGGGTTCCAGCCTGACTCTAACTTTGTCCCTGGGTGACTTTGCTCAAGACATTTAACCTCTCCAACGCTCAGTTTCTTCATCTATGAAATGGGACTGGTGGTACCTTCCTACAGGGCTGTTGGAAGGGCCTACTGCATGCAAAGCCCTTGGCACAGTGCCAGGCATGAAGAAGGCACCCCACAGAGCTGCCTTTCTTTTGTTCTCTTGTTGTCCTTCTTGGTCACCCTCAATGGGGTCTCCATCACTCCTGGGGGTGGCCTTCCTGACATTAGGTTTACAGGTCCCAACCAAGCTTCCCCCACATGACCACCCTGGGTTCTGGGTCCTTCTAGCTTCTGTCTGGCTTGAGCTAGACAAAGCATTCCTGGCTCAGTTCTGTGTGTGTTTGTCTGTCTGTCTCACTAATGTTACTGAGCTCAATTATCATCACTTGCATCACCTCATTAAGTCCTCTAAGAACCCTTAAGAAAAGACACTGTTTCCATCCCCTTTTTACAGACGAGGACACCAAAGCGCAGAAGGCAGGGTCAAGGTCATCTGGCAGCACTACCCCATACTCCTTCCCTGCTCTGTGCCTCCAAATACTTCTCTGCCCACCAGTCACCCTTGTCCTTTGCTGGGTGTACCATGCCCAGGTCTGTCTACCCTCCAGGCTCTGAACACCCAAGTTCTGATCACTCAGCATAAGCCCGGCACCCAGCAGGTGTAGCTGAGCGATTTTCCTTAAACGAAACTGAATATGTCCCTGTCACAAACATATCCATCCTCCCCCAGGATCATCTGTGATTTCGGAGTAAGAAATTCCCTTTTTTAGGGACGTCCTTCCCGTGAAGAGTTCCTGTCTATGAGAACACATCTCTGCCTCCTCTGAGTTTTT